CCCCAAAACCCCAAAACCCCAAAACCCCAAAACCCCAAGTTTTAGCAAATGCATTGAAATTTAGATATTTTCTTCATTTGTGACGATTTCATGACTTAATTCAAAAAGAGAGTAATGAGATTACATTCTTAAATAAGATAAAATAATGAGAAATTCTTACGACCAAGAAGCTCTCCCAATGGAGAGCCAAGAGGCTGAAGCCTCTCTCATGAAGATATCCTGGAGTAACCTCCAGTATACGGTTAGAGCAGGGCCTAAACGTTGGGGAAGGCGCTCAGAGATGAATGACAAAGTGCTGCTTAAGCCTCAAAGTGGGTATATTAAACCAGGTCAAACCTGATTTATCATGGGATCCTCTGGAGCTGGAAAGACAACTCTTCTCAACACACTTTGTGGACGTATTACTTCTAGCAGTACGGCTAAGGTAGAGGGGCAGGTGATGATAAACGATACATATCCTATCACTCAGAAGGATTTCGGGAAGTATGGAGCGTACGTCATGCAGGATGATGTACTATTCCCTACATTTACTTGCGAAGAAGTTATTACCTTCTCTGCAAAGCTGAAGCTCAATCTTAGTGAGAAAGAAATCAAGAACAGAGTGAGCACAATTATTGATGACCTTAGACTCAACAATTGCAAAAATACTTTTGTTGGCAACCAACTTATCAAAGGAATAAGCGGAGGTCAAAGAAAGAGAACAGCCATTGCTATTGAGATGGTCACTGATCCTCAGGTTCTTTTCCTCGACGAACCTACTTCAGGCCTTGATAGCTTCACTGCTAATAGGATTGTAAAGCTACTTGTGAAGCAAGCCAGGTTGGGCAAAACAATAGTAGCGACTATCCATCAGCCAAGCTCTCAAACATTCAATCTGTTTGACAAACTTATTTTACTTATGGATGGGAACCAGATATACCAAGGCCCGGCTGACAAATCGGTTGGCTATTTTGAGTCGATAGGTTACTCAGTTCCGAGTTACTCAAACCCAGCTGATTATTTTCTAATGAAATTTTATCTCCCATATAAGAAATCAGAGAGGGATATTCAAATGTTAGAAACTCTAAAAGAAGCATTTGAGGAGAAACTATCAAGCCAGATTGCCTTACAGAATGAGGCTGAATACATTTATGAGGAGATTACAGCTAAATCTCTCTCAAAGGCATACAGCCAAATATCCTTCTGGAGTGAGCTGAAAGAACTTGTGAAAAGAACAGGGATTAATATTTACAGAAACCCAACATTAGCGAAAATGAGGTTCTTTTCTTCATGTATGATTACCATCACCATCTGTTTCTTTTTCTGGGACCTTGGTTATGACCCCAAAGGGATCCACAACAAGCGAGGATTCATGTTCTACATCAGCTGGAACCAGACATTCCAATCTGTATTGTCAGTAGTCATGAACTTTATTGATGAAAGACCTGTTTTTCTTAGAGAATATGCAGCCAAAACTTACAGGATATGGAGTTACTTCTTGTCAAAGTCCTTAGTAGAAGCTCCATTTCAGCTTCTGTTTCCAATATTAACCTCTCTAAGCGTGTATTTCTTAGTAGGACTCACTCCAGATGTGGAAAAGTTAATGATTTTTACCCTAATCTTACTCTCTGTGGTATTCTGAGCCACTTCATTGGGCTTCGCTATCGGATGCTGAGTGGAAGAACCCTATAAGGGCACCTCATTGACTATATTTATCCTTGGCCCAATCATGTTCTTTGGAGGGCATCTAGTGAATCTGAACACTGTGCCGACTTATATCCGATGGATGAACTATCTCTCACCAGTACGCTACGCTACAGAAGCACTACTTCGAAATGAATTGGAGGGAAATAGAAGATACAGTCTTTCCCAAGATTTCTTCTCAAACCTTGGCTTTGACCTTGGAATGGCCGAGTGTATTCTTATCCTAGTAGTTCTTGGCTTGGCCTTCCGAGTTCTAGGAGCTTTACTGCTCAGACTAGCAGTAACTTCAGTTCAATAGGTAACTATATACTCGATTCAATAAACGTCATTTCAAAGGGGTTTTGGGGTTTTGGGGTTTTGGGG